AGAGGGCTGCTCAGTCTGGGGGAGAGTTGTTGGATGGGAAAAAATAGCCTGGTCAGAGTGAAGGGGGTAAAAACAGCATAGCTCTGGGGCTGTGGAGAGTGGTTGGGCTTTCCTAGTCCTGGGGCTGTTATGAACACATGCAAGCTGAGTTAACCCTCCCTTGGTCAAGTTAGATCTTGCCGATCTAAACTTAGTTCTCATCTGATGAGAGATAACTTAACATTAAATTGGGTGCGCCCATTTTCTGGTGACCTAAGCCTTGTGAACACCTGCACACCAGGGTATTTAGAGTGCCCTAACCTTGTTTAGGGCGATCTGAATGTAAGGCTTGTAGGTTCCCTTAAAGTTCACTTTATATCCTGGAAACAGGGATTGATGTGATCGACAAGTCTTGTGTGCTAGACTGTACTTAGGGACAAATGCCACGTGGCTACAGCTCTCTTTGCTGTTCCAGAGATACAGTTCCATTTATGAAACCAGGAGTGTTTGTACGTAGCAGTCCACACAGGGCTTCATAATAGTGATATATTGCCATATCCCATCTTGAAATGGCAACATCAATGCCTTTCCAAGGGTCAATTCTAGAACCATTAACTCAAGTGAATTACTTTATGTTTCATTTCAGCAGAGGGGACCTGGGAGTCAGAAGGTTCAGCTGTTCTCAGACACTTTTATTGAAGAAGAATACCTCTTGCCAGTGCTTCAGAGGGAGAAAAAAACACCTGAACAGCGATCCACAGCAAGTTACACCCAAAAGGCTCTGACTTCAGACATGGAAGATAACACTGGAATGAAGGAAAGTGCAGATGCCACTAAAAAATTCATTCACATTCAGACTCTCCGAGCAGGTGATATATTTGTAAGTATGTATTTAGCCCTCTGATGACCCTGAAGGAGAGCATGGGGGATAATTGAAAAATTTGTATCTGTCAGAGATAGAGAATTTAGACAAAAGTGGACTTGGCATGCTCCCCTCTGATACATTTTTTGTGCATATTTATTAGTTTGCCTTTAAATTCCTTTCCCTCTAACAACAATTACACACATAATAAAAATGATAATCATGGTGGGTGGAGAGAGAATTTCCTTGCCTTTTAACAGAAAGGACAGCCTGGTAAAAAAATAAATGGAGCTAATTAGTTGACTATAATTACGAAGTCCTTGGAGTTAAAATGTGCTGCATACTGGCAGAAAATGCAATTTGCCATATGGTACCAGAACTATCTGGAGCAAAGTATTTTCCTTTACTATTTTCTGCAGACTGAGCAAGGGCTTGGATTATTTGTGGCTTTCCAAGCATTTGAATTATGCAAGCTAGCTGACTAAATGCCCCAAAGCAGCAGAGAGCCTAGCTCAATCACTTCATAATATATATAAAAAAATCTTGTTTTTGCAGAGTCTTTAATAGAAGTCTGTGGTTTCAATTTTCAGCAGGTTTGGGAAACTTTCAGAAACTTTTCCTCAGGAAGGGCCAGATTCTAATCTCTTTACTCACCACTGACTGTAGCATCTTTTTGCATGGGCAGTCCCACTGACTTTGCTAAAACTATTTGTGAAAGACAGATGCTCTTTGTATCAAGTAAAGTTATCAGAATCTGGCAGAAAATGTATATGTATAGAACTACTTGACATGGAAATTGCCCAGAGTGAATAGAAAAGAAAAACAGAGAGAGACAAATCTTTGCTCAGCACAGCCTCTGGATTACAAAAAGTAATCCAAAACAGGAGCTCAGTATGCACCGATGCACTTTCATTTGAATATCATTTCTCATCTCAGATTTCAATTTCAATTAAGAGTGGCCTCCCATCCTTTAAGGGAAGTGGAAATAGGACAGTATAAGAAGTTACAGTAGTTAAATGGCCTTGTCACAGGAAGAACCTCCAGGCAAGAGCCTGTATTCCATCCCTTTAAAAAATGCAGCTCTGAATTTCTGTCCTTATCAGTGATTCCCCAATGTTCATATTTAAGATAGACATAAAAAATCTGCTAAGAATTAGCCGTCCTGATCTCTGAGATTTATATCTCACTGCAAAATTGCTCTCCAAGCTCCTAAGCTGTCACTGTGAAACAGATACTTAGGGATCTTAGCTAGTACCGCTGGAGTTTCATTTAGAACTGAAATAAAAGATCATTTTCAAGTCATAAAGGTATATTCTGCTCTTACAACAACAAAATTGCCTTAATTAAAGTTGCAGCTCTGTTTTTGGTGTTTGCTTTAATTTAAAGGCCCTGCTAATGCCATCGGATCAATGAAGTTAGCAGTGTCTTTAGCTGAAACAACTGGTGGTGAATGTCTTCAAGCTTCATTGCTTAACTAGGATAATTATTGTGCTGTGTAGAGTTTCCTCTCATAAAAAGCAAACGCTGCTTCTGCCATTACATTTGCCAGGTAGGCAAGTGGATTTTTTTACTGTCCTACCTGTAAATTGAAGGATGAAATGTGCACAGCTAGTCAGAGCCATGATTAGGAATATTGCACTGCTAAACAAGGGAAAAGGTATGGAAGAATTCCCACCGGTGCTGCTGATAACTAAGAGGCACGAGTTTTTGATAATTGCAGAACATGCATGCACAAGGTGTGCCAGAATGAGAGATGGGTAAAGCTGGTCAAATGTCTCCATCAATATCTTCCAAAAAATTAGATTTTTAACAAATCTGTGCAAGCAACTACTCTAGACACTTTCAAGAAACATTTGGCTGCTGGGATGC